AGAATGCTGCGACTATTATACTGTCCAGTCGTCGAAACCATGGCAGCCGGGTGCATGATTGAAAGCCATCATTGAGGTTTAATTCTTCACTTCTTTCTGAAATTTTCTGCACGTTCGCAGCCGAGTGGTCCAAATCACTGCAAGCTGAGAAGCTGCGAAATAGATTCTCAATCTTAGAGGCATCGGACACCTCCCAAGCAAAAAGCAATCTCCAGGAAGCCGTGTTCTTGCCACGTATTGTTCCTGCCAGCATGATCATGCTGGTCACAGTGTCAACATGCTCTTCCAAGGCTCCAGAAGCTGCTGGACGTGGGGTGCTGCCCGAGTGAACTCCTCGATCCAGGCCTCATGCAATATGCAATGAACGCTGCAACCTGATGATAATCTCCAGTCTGTGCATCAGAGCGCATTGTCAATTGCTTGTTCTACCTTCTCTTGCCATTGAGATTGTTTGTCTCTGTCTCCAGCCTGCCTGTAGCATTTGGTCGAACCAACTCTAAATCGTTTCTGCCCTGAGTTCTCCCCACTTCGGGTGTCACTTGCGGCGAGCACGCTTTGCCCGCTGCTTGATGGACTTCGCAGCCCCGTGTACGAGTACCTCTAAGTCTGGCTGGGTTTGCTTGGCTGCTGCGGCTTGTGCCCTGGCGCGTGCTTCTGCCCAGATTGCCGCTTGCTCCTTGGGGCTCGCCATCTGGCTCTTGATCACCCTGACCACACCGCTGGGCGTCGCGCGTCGCGCCTGTCCGCCAGTGAGTTTGACCCAGCCTCCCTGCCTGCCGACGATCCGCGTGCTGCGTGGTCTGTGTTGCGCGCATGGCTTGCCTTCTACCCCTTCTGGTTTGTAAGCTGAATGTACTAATAAGCTAGGCTGACATGTGCCCGGCTTCGGCCCTTGCTAACGGCGACCTGTGTGTCTGTACGTGTGCCTGGCGACACTTTCACCCACTCAAAGAGTACCTGTGGGCTGTGCGCATCATACAGCTGTTCAACACTGAATCTTCAGATCGCACCTCACAGTCTGTGTCTCCGGGCATGGCCCGAGAGGAAATGCTCTTTGCCCTCCCAGGGCCTCGGGTGTCCGGCACGAGGCCCAATTCCTACTCGCGGATGACAGTCTACACTTGCCTATCCTAGGAAGCGAGGTTGAACCAGTACTCAGTTGCTAAGATTCGACCCGGAAAATCGATCCAACTCTTCTAGAGAATCGATTAATCATCACTGCGAGTAACTTTGTCTCATCAAGTTGTGTACTGCATAGTCAATGGCTGCTACGGCCACTTCCAGGATGAAACAGAGAAGGCCACTACGCCATCCAAGCTCCGACACTGCTGAGCCAAGCACAGCTTCTCGCCCTTGAAGAAACCCCTGCCGATCGCAACTCAAGCCAAGCGCTGCAAGCGACCAGTCAATTCCCTGGGCAAGTCGAGATGAATGGATGACGACTGAGGCTCTGTAAATTTTAGATTCTAGATGTTCCAGGAAAACTTGGGGAGGAAGCACAAGTCCAATGAACTGTTGCAAGGGCCTCCCCTGGGCCCTTTCGTCACCACCACCTGCGTCCCTGGCTACAAAAGCTGCTGAAAAAAACAGCTCTATCTCGCTGTGTGCCAGCTGCAAGCTACCGTTGAGGCTATGTGCTTGAGTGCCTTTTGTCAACACGGAATCATAGTCCAACTTGACCCTCTAGGCCCTCGCGCCCAGATTCTGCACGCGGCTGCTTCAACTGGGCCAGTCTTGACGTGCTGGAGCTTCTGATACACATCAATTGGCAAAGCAAAACACCCGCGTTGAAGAAACGCGCTAGGTAATTAAGTTGGAGTCGAGTTTGCGCGAGCCAAAGCAACAAAGCCCTGCAACAGGATCACGGAGACAAACAGCATTCGTCTCAAATCAAGAAACGTTTTGTTTCTTCTTCTTTTTCCGAATGTTCTGGCTACGAAGAAATATATCGCCCATTTTGAAGAGCTAAAGCAAAGTGGTCCTTGGAATGGCTTGAGAAAAGCAATCCCAAAGGCTCCCACAGAATCTCAAGCTGCAAACAATGAGGCGCCAGCATCTCCCAAGTCATCATGCTCCTTCGGATCCCATATCCTGGGAGAAGCGAAGCGGCTAAGCAAACTGCCGTTGCTCCCCGCGCACGCACAACGCTTCCGACGCTTGCAGTGACCGGCACAGGCATGCCGGGTGTCTGAGACACGTCACTGAGTGCTTCACCTGTAATGCGGGATAATGGAGAGCCGCTTTGGCTCGGTCTCCGGCATGGTTTTCGCTTCGTACTCCTGAGTTGTTTCTGGCAGAGCAGGCCCCTCATTCCAAGGGCTGGCTTGGTCGCAGCACATGCTGCACGTATTGTGCCATGGCAGCCGACAAGCATGCTAGCAGAATGTCAGCGGCTGCTGGCAAGACTGAACTCGCACAAAGCATTAGCGAGGCCTGGCGGTATCATATTCTACTGACTGAACACTTAGGTGGTTGATCTGCCGTTCACTTGCACAGTCACTCCCGCCCATCCTGCATATGCTTCTTCACAGCAGCATCCCCTGCGCCAAAGATGTTGCAATTTGCTGCATGCTCCCCATAGTCCGCTGAAACAGGCGTGCCATCAGTGCCATCAAACTCAACCAGGCAAAGAACCAAAGACAGTCATGGGCTCCAGCTTTCAAGCCTGACTCTTGAGAGCCAAAGGCAAAACACACCTAACAAACATTAACAAACACAAATCAGTTCAGGCACACCACGACGCAAGCACCCACCTTCAAATATAAATCGGAATGACCAGTCACTCCCTGTGTCTGTGAAAAGCGATTCACAGCTATTGTCTTTCTGCAACAATCGAGCCTTGGGGTACAGCAGCAGTAGCCTCTTTCAAGCGCTCCTGAGCCTGCTGCTCGGCAGCCGCCTTGTCCTTGCCAACTCGGAAAGCCACGGATTGATTCGCTGGATGCTGGCCCGTGCTCGCGCAAGGTGCAGCCGCTACGCTTAGGTTCCGGGCGAAGGCATACTTGTCAGAGTCGAAGCATCCAGTGACCTTGAGACCGGCAAGCTCCTGGGCACTGCTCTCTGAGCACGTTCTCCCAAGTGCAAATAAAGAAGGTCGAAGGTGTGTCAGGCTCCCGTGCTCGATCGAATTCACAAACAAGAGCCAAACAAATGCTTCTCAAAACCTGTCCTTGCTGCCGTAGTCGCACTTCGGCGCACAGGCAATGCAGTCCTGCAAGATTGACATGACAGCAAACCACCCAACTTCCAGAACTAGGGCTGTACTTGCCAAAATATCAACGCCCACAGTAACCTCAGATTGGATGCTCCTCCTGGCTTTGGTCGTGCTGCGCACATTCGCGGCACTTAAGCTGCTTGGAGGTCTCGACTTGCCTGGCGTCAGGAGCAAACCGTGTCTTGAGGTGCAGAAACATGAGGGCTGTCTGTAAGCAGCAAGACCCCGGCCCTGAAGAACATTAATTAGGCATGTTGGGAATTCCTGTTTCAATCTAAAGCGAGACTTGATGGGCTTTCAATTGTGTGCCAAGCTGATGCAAGCCACGTTGGTCCGGTCAAAGACAGCCAGGTCCATCCGAGCCCTTGGATCCTGGCCATTGGGCAGTGATGAGATCCTCGCCTGCCTTCGCCTAAGGCCGCAAGCTTGTTGATGCCTGCCAAGCTTTTTGTTTGCAGTTTGACCGCTGCGTACACGTAGATCTGCCACACAAACTGCTTGGCCCGTTTTTGTACAACACGTCAAGACGGGTAACACTACGAAGGCTAAGGCGTGGTGGAGGCCTGGCTGGCTTGTGTGATTCCGTGTCCTGTCATGTCCTGTCACTAGCGTTCGCTGCAAGTCTCGGTCAACTAGGCCATGCGCATGCAACGCGTGAGCATGTTCATGTGTGTCTGTGGTTTGCCGGATGGGGAGACCATATTATATTGCGGATCTATGCGAGTTTCCGATCGTTCCAGAAACTGGTGCTCGTTCAGCAGGAATACCAAACGCGTCTCTCAGACCCTAGATTGCTTCCCTCCACCACGCGACGATATCTTTCTAGGCACCTATCAGTCGTAGTTTCGGCCAGTCAAGTTGCACTTCTTGCGCGGCTTCCATTGTTTGACATACCTCACGCAATGGCAACCTCAGCCAATGGACCCACACGGGCTCATGTCCTATCTCAGGCAGCCGCCTCCGATGCCTTGTTGACCACGTCCTACGGGTCATTGACAAGAAAGCTGTTTCCAAGATCATGTCCAATGCCCCGTCACGACAAATTACTCCAGAGAATGGGGTAAGAACCATGCCAAAGCCACTGAAAGGGTATGGAATCATAGTGTCTTTGAACCCCTTCACCAAATGATACTCCTCAAACACAACCAGTTCACAACTCAAAAGAGCCTTAAAAGTACCTGCTAGCCACTCAAATAGTTATTCATATCAACCTCCCCAAAAGCAACTCACCTTTGTTAGATGGTGGCCTCACATGTACTTGAGCTTGTGTTGCTTCAAGAAGCGGTTGAATACAAGTGTTCATGTTCCGGACACAAATGTACAGTGTCATTCACAGCTTGGCAATGGCACGTGCCGCGGTTAATCAACAAAAAAAGAACATGGGTCTCAAGTGTTCTCAATTGCCGTCAAGGTAGTTCTCTAGGAAACGGTTTGGATGCGCTCTTTGTGGATTTCACCTGTTCTCCCCCCTGTAGGTTCTTTTTTAGTACTCTTTTAGTACTCTTTTGATATCCTACAGGGGTGGATCCACAAAAACGCATCCAATCCGTTTCCCAGAACAGTTCACAGCCCTCAATTATCCATATGCTCCCAAAATATCTTCCAAACCATGCTGCCCAACTTATTCCCCACAAGCTGATCTGTTTCAATACTTTTCGAGATCTGCAAGCGTGCAAGTTCTCCCAAATGCTCCCCAACGCCCAAAATGCTCTCAAACCCCCTCTCCCCCATATGCTCCCCAAATATGCCCAAGCTCCGCAAATTCTCCCAAATCCCCTCAATGCTCTCCAAATGCTGTCAACAGCTCTTTGAATACTCAAACACTCCATAAATATACGCTTTCCAAATCTGTGCTCCGCAAGCACTCCCAAATGGCAACCGCACCGCCGTAGCACTCCCCAAAGCAGAACGCGGCAAAGGATGCAAAGAAAACATGCACTGCCAAAGACTAGCACTCAGAATATGTTTGGGCAGTGGGAGCGGACAGGGACTGACAACAAACGGACGCACTGACTACGGATGGGTGGATTCAACAAACAGATTGCTGGGTCACATAGAAGAGACGGCTCACTTAGCACAGCACCCGTTCTGGACATATTGAGTCTTTGCCCGCAACGCCCACCACTGAACCACAACGATTTCCCCACCATGCCATGTTGAGGTATACAGAGCTCTCAACTATCACTTGCCCAAAAGGCCATTGGCCCAAATAACTCTCAGCATTTGAGGGGTATCGGGGGGCCAAAAACTTTACGACGCAACCATGTCCCCTTGCTAGTAGTCTTTTAGGGCTTGAGGAAACGCTTCAGCTCAGCACAACTGCCTCTGGCAAACAAGTGAAGGCCTGTGAAGCAATGTCCCATCGGTCCTTGTTCATTGGATCTCCTTGGTTGGAGACATTCCTGACCTGCGCCCAATAGCGACCCTTGTTTTGATTGGCACAGCATCGCATGTTCCTTGTTGTGTCTTCCCAAACCATTGAGCACGTTGCGATCGTTCGGCACGGTGGGTGGGTAGCTGTGCCCTTCCTGGTGCTAGGATAGTTCTGCTTAACATACGCAAGATCTTATAACATCTTATAACCTTCAAATACCTTCAGAACTTCTTGTTTATCGAGTGGTGCAGTTGCCCTGCATGCGAATCTGCGACCACCCCAGGTCACCACTGCTTTTTTGCTCCGGCCGCCCTCAACAAGCGATCCCGGAGGACAAAGGACGAGCCGGCGGCACGCACAGGCACTTCCTTAGTGTTCGGAACTCTGCTGCGTGCTGTGTTTGTCTGACTCTATGTCTCTCTGTCTCTCTGTCTCTCAGTCTGTCTGTCTGTCTGTCTGTCTCTCTGTTTGTGTTTGCATATGTTTGTCTGTGCTGCGAAAGGCGAACACCAGGAAACTCTACAATAAACCGCACCCACCCCTTGGTAAATATTCAGCTAGTGTCTTGTAGAACTTTCCTGAGCTAGTTTCTAAGTGTGCGTGTGTGTGTGCGTGTGTGTGTGCGTGTGTGTGTGTGCGCATCCAAATGTGTACATGTGTGTCTGTGTGTCACGTACTTCAACAATGATCAAAGGAAGTTTAACAAGAAACTTCCGTAGTACTGGAACTAAATGAGCTAGCTGCTTTGACATATAGCTATGACAGGTAGCTAGCATGACAAATAGATAGCTTTGACATATAGCTAGCTTGACAGATAGATAGCTTTCCAATAGGCTTGCATGACAGATAGATAGCTTTGACATATAGCTAGCTTGACAGATAGATAGCTTTCCAATAGGCTTGCATGACAGATAGATAGCTTTGACATATAGCTAGCTTGACAGATAGATAGCTTTCCAATAGGCTTGCATGACAGATAGATAGCTTTGACATATAGCTAGCTTGACAGATAGATAGCTTTCCAATAGGCTTGCATGACAAATAGACAGCTTTGACATATAGCTAGCTTGACAGATAGATAGCTTTCCAATAGGCTTGCGTGACAGATAGATAGCTTTGACATATAGCTAGCTTGACAGATAGATAGCTTTCCAATAGGCTTGCATGACAGATAGATAGCTTTGACATATAGCCAGCTTAACACGTAGATAGCTTTCTCAAGTATAGATTTCGTGGCAGGCGCAGCACTTTCGCAAGCACTCTCTGCGAGCTGGGGGATGGCAAGATGCAGAAAACGTTGGCGCTGTGCGTGAATTGGGCTTCCGGACTGTGCGCAAACCACCTCGGCTGCGACGCCTGTACGGAGGCGGTCTCGGAACGGTCTCGGAACGGTCTCGGAACGGTCTCGGAACGGGTTCGGAGACGGGCCCATTGGCACGGCCGCGCGAAGGTTTCGCAAGGTTTGAATTGCGTGGCAGGCGCAGCACTTTCGCAAGGTCAAGTATAGATTTCGTGGCAGGCGCAGCACTTTCGCAAGGTCAAGTATAGATTTCGTGGCAGGCGCAGCACTTTCGCAAGCACTCTCTGCGAGCTGGGGGATGGCAAGATGCAGAAAACGTTGGCGCTGTGCGTGAATTGGGCTTCCGGACTGTGCGCAAACCACCTCGGCTGCGACGCCTGTACGGAGGCGGTCTCGGCGGTCTCGGAACGGTCTCGGAACGGAACGGTCTCGGAACGGGTTCGGAACGGGTTCGGAGACGGGCCCATTGGCACGGCCGCGCGAAGGTTTCGCAAGGTTTGAATTGCGTGGCAGGCGCAGCACTTTCGCAAGGTCAAGTATAGATTTCGTGGCAGGCGCAGCACTTTCGCAAGGTCAAGTATCGATTTCGTGGCAGGCGCAGCACTTTCGCAAGCACTCTCTGCGAGCTGGGGGATGGCAAGATGCAGAAAACGTTGGCGCTGTGCGTGAATTGGGCTTCCGGACAGTGCGCAAACCACCTCGGCTGCGACGCCTGTACGGAGGCGGTCTCGGAACGGTCTCGGAACGGTCTCGGAACGGGTTCGGAGACGGGCCCATTGGCACGGCCGCGCGAAGGTTTCGCAAGGTTTGAATTGCGTGGCAGGCGCAGCACTTTCGCAAGGTCAAGTATAGATTTCGTGGCAGGCGCAGCACTTTCGCAAGGTCAAGTATAGATTTCGTGGCAGGCGCAGCACTTTCGCAAGGTGAAGTGTAGATTTTGTGGCAGGCGCAGCACTTTCCCAAGGTCAAGTGTAGATTTCGTGGCAGGCGCAGCACTTTCGCAAGGTCAAGTATAGATTTCGTGGCAGGCGCAGCACTTTCGCAAGGTCAAGTATAGATTTCGTGGCAGGCGCAGCACTTTCGCAAGCACTGTCTGCGAGCTGGGGGATGGTTCGTGGCAGGCGCAGCACTTTCGCAAGGTCAAGTATAGATTTCGTGGCAGCACTTTCGCAAGCACTGTCTGCGAGCTGGGGGATGGCAAGATGCAGAAAACGTTGGCGCTGTGCGTGAATTGGGCTTCCGGACAGTGCGCAAACCACCTCGGCTGCGACGCCTGTACGGAGGCGGTCTCGGAACGGTCTCGGAACGGGTTCGGAGACGGGCCCATTGGCACGGCCGCGCGAAGGTTTCGCAAGGTTTGAATTGCGTGGCAGGCGCAGCACTTTCGCAAGGTCAAGTATAGATTTCGTGGCAGGCGCAGCACTTTCGCAAGGTCAAGTATCGATTTCGTGGCAGGCGCAGCACTTTCGCAAGGTGAAGTGTGGCAGGCGCAGCACTTTCCCAAGGTCAAGTGTAGATTTCGTGGCAGGCGCAGCACTTTCGCAAGGTCAAGTATAGATTTCGTGGCAGGCGCAGCACTTTCGCAAGGTCAAGTATAGATTTCGTGGCAGGCGCAGCACTTTCGCAAGGTCAAGTGCCAAATTCGTGGCAGGCGCAGCACTTTCGCAAGGTCAAGTACAAAATTCGTGGCAGGCGCATCACTTTCGCAAGGTCAAGTACAGAATTTGTGGCAGGTGCAGCACTTTCGCAAGGTCAAGTGCAAAATTCGTGGCACGCGCAGCACTTTCGCAAGGTCAAGTACAGATTTTGTGGCAGGCGCAGCACTTTAGCAAGGTCAAGCACAGATTTGGTGGCAGGCGCAGCATTTTTGCAAGGTCAACTTTCGCAGCCGGGGCTCGAAAATCGCAACTTTTAAGTACGAAAGTAGTACGCGAAGTCAACTTTCGCAGCTGGGGCTTGAAAATCGCAACTTTTAAGTACGAAAGTAGTGCGCAAAGTCCACTTTCGCAGCCGGGGCTTGAAAATCGCAACTTTTAAGTACGAAAGTAGTACGCAAAGTCCACTTTCGCAGCTGGGGCTCGAAAATCGCGACTTTTTAGTACGAAAGTAGTACGCGAAGTCCACTTTCGTAGCTGGGGCTCGAAAATCGCAACTTTTAACTACGAAAGTAGTACGTGAAGTCCAGTTTCGCAGCTGGGGCTCGAAAATCGCAACTTTTAAGTACGAAAGTAGTACGCGAAGTCAACTTTCGGGGATTGAACATCGCAACTTTTAAGTGCAGAGAAAGATGGGTAGATAGATAGATCAATAAACAGATATAGAGATAGCTAGAGAAATAGATAGAAAGAGATAGAGAAACAGAGATAGACAGAGATAGATAGATTTGTAGATAGATAGACAAATAACTAGCTAGATAGATAAAGAGATAGAGAGATAAATAAATAGAGAGGTAGATAGATAGATAGGAGATAGAGAGGTAGATAGATAGGTAGATCTATAGATAAATCGCAACTTTTAAGTACGAAAGTAGTACGCGAAGTCAACTTTCGCAGCTGGGGCTTGAAAATCGCAACTTTTAAGTACGAAAGTAGTGCGCAAAGTCCACTTTCGCAGCCGGGGCTTGAAAATCGCAACTTTTAAGTACGAAAGTAGTACGCAAAGTCCACTTTCGCAGCTGGGGCTCGAAAATCGCGACTTTTTAGTACGAAAGTAGTACGCGAAGTCCACTTTCGTAGCTGGGGCTCGAAAATCGCAACTTTTAACTACGAAAGTAGTACGTGAAGTCCAGTTTCGCAGCTGGGGCTCGAAAATCGCAACTTTTAAGTACGAAAGTAGTACGCGAAGTCAACTTTCGGGGATTGAACATCGCAACTTTTAAGTGCAGAGAAAGATGGGTAGATAGATAGATCAATAAACAGATATAGAGATAGCTAGAGAGATAGATAGAAAGAGAGAGAAAGAGACAGAGAAACAGAAAGAGAAAGAGAAAAGAGAAAGAGAGAAAGAGAGAAGAGAGAGAGAAAAGAGAGAGAGAGAGAGAAGCAAGGGGCCAAGGACAGTTCTCCAAACTATAGTTGTTCACTGCTTTGAAACTTCCGCCCCCCGGCTCTGCCGGACCTTACTTGTATAACACTTTTACATGTATAGGAAGGCGGCGGGGTTTTAATAAAATCTTGCAACGTGTGGCATGCTGTGGAATGAATCGCTGTTTATGATCAAGTATATTGTCTGGTGTCCTCACTTGGAACTTGATCGCGATTGGACCCTTGGATGGATGGATGGACATGGTGGTTGTTCTAAAATCCTTTGTCTCGAAACGGCCATTCTTCGCGAATAAAAAAGTTACTTTCGCGAATCTTTCGCGGATTCATCGCCGTGCCCTTTTCCTTGCTCAAGTCAGAAAATTGCTGATTTTAAGTGCCAGCGTAGTGCGCGAAATTCGATTCCCCAACTCCCGCTGTAAAGTCGCAACTTTCATCACAGGGGTAGTACATGACATGCGCGGGCTGGAAAGACGCAGCTTTTCGTAAGCCGTGCAGCTCCAGCTTAAAGTCGCAACTTTCCAGTACCAAGCTGGTATACTGACAAGCGCGGCGCTCAGAAAGTACCTCCCCCTTACAATCGAAGCCGCTTTCGCGGGGGCTTTCGCGGATCTTTCACGGAACTTTCGCGAAAAACCACCCACGTTTCAGAGCGGAAAGGCGCCGAGTAAACACCCACAGGCACACATACACAGGCTTGGGGCACTAACCAGCCAAGCAGGGTATCAAACTGTAGCCTCACCAGGCTTTTTCGGCGCAAAATCAACAAAGTGTTGTAATCAGCGCAGAAGGAAGGCTCAGCAGCAAAGATGAATGGTTTCACATATCATTGATTTACAAGACACAGTTACGCAAAACTTTCGCGAGAAAAAAAGTTACTTTCGCAACTCCATCGCGAATCTTTCGCGGAGCTACCTCAACCAACACCGATGGTCACCGAATACTAAACTCCTTACAAGGACCTTTAGAACGACTCCCACATGGAGATATCTGCCTCCTCATTGTTCGGTCAGCTTGCGCTGAACAAAAGAGCATCAGAAAGCTCAAGCACTGTCATGAGGTGACTGCACTGGCACGATACTGGCCGAACAGGAGGCGTATTTAGGCCGAGTCTCCCAGAGTCCTCTTCCCCACAAGGTTGGTCTGGACCAGCCTGCAACAAGTGAAGAGCAGTTGGCTGCCTTTCTCTGCGCATGTTTGCATTTGGCTTGTTTGTTTGGACTTCACCTGGCTTTGATGCTTCATGCAGGAGAAAGCACTGTCGGATTCTCCAGACTTGAATTGAGCCTTCCTTCGTGGATGGCGCAAAGCACTTCCAGCTGCACCACCCGTGACCGTCTCATCTGCGCCTCGAAGCGATCCGGTGACCAACCTGAGGGCACAGTCAATGTCTCCCAATCAAATTGCTTGCAATAAAACTCTTCTCAAGAGCAAGATGAGTGGTTCTACCAACCACCAACCCACCCTCCGTACATGCTCGGCCCAGGAAGGTCTGCAGTGCTCGTGTCTGACAGTTTCCCCACTACCTCTTCCCTTGTTCCCCCCTGTCTCGGCCCATTGGTCCTTGTTCTGTGGGTTGCCTGTCTCGGGCCTCGCACGTTTCCCTTCTCTCCTTTGTAAAATACGGGGGAGAAGTCATCTCTATCTGGCAGACGAGGCTGGCTTCTGGGACACTGTGAAAAGGTGGCAAAGAGGAGTACCATGCTGGCTCTTGGGGACGCGCAAAGGCTGAACATGTTCAGGGCATTCATTTACTGACATCTCGGCAGGTTGAGCAAACTATCACACTCCTTCCCTTGAAGGCAAGGCTTGTACAAAGAACGTTACACGGCTACAGAAATTATGGGGTCTTCATCAAATTCCATGCCAGGCCTTCCTCTTCCCTGCAGCCCAGCTGCAATGCCACTGCGGGCCCTTTCCAATGTCGTTGCACTCCCCGAGGTGGTACGACCACCCCCGCGCAGGACAGCCCACCCTGGACAAAGTGGATCTTGCGGTCAAAGAAACCAAGCAAAGAAATACACGATACAACAGATCATTGCAACTACATTTCCTCCTTCGCAGATCGGGGACACACTGTACGGAACACTCTCCCAATCTGTGCAAGTTTCAAAGGAAACCAATGGGCGCAATGCTATGAGACAGCACTGTTCTTTCTGCGCTCTGGGATCATGGACCCTACAGATTTACCTCGTGACATGAAAACCTCGCCCGTCTGGGTGACTGGGTAGCAGAACTCGTAGGCTCCGTTGTACCGCGAAGAGACAGCTTCTTTGCCCAGCTCTTCAGGAAAGTAGTTCCTCAGAGCGGTAAAACCGCTGGGCCGACTTCCAAGGGGCAGTGCGCAAGAGTGCGCAGCTTTCTTGCCTATGGTCAAGCTAGAAGGTTGCACACCGAGGCAATCAAGAACTGCTTGACACTGGGCATGCACTCGTAATGAAACCTTTTTTGGCTCCCTCTAGGGAAGGTCGAGGTCAGGGCGGCATGTGAATGCCGCTCCATTGAAATTGCTCGTAGTTCCAACTACGATATGTGAGACTCCTCCAATATGGGGAAAATTGAAGAATGATCGACTGTACATCTTTGTATATCAACTTGAGACCGTTACCATGTTCAGAATCCGGTGACTCTGACAAAATCGGTCAGCTATAATTCCTGTGAGATCCAAAGGAAGCAAATGCAGCCCCTTGCGAGCTTCACAATCCCTTAGGAATGAAGTCGCCGACGGAGGACCTTTGCTAGGCGGTCACAGAGCACACTGCATTATACTCAAGCCACGCGCGCCTTTGGCTCCAATCTCTCGCCTTTCCAAGACACGGCACCTCTTGTCGAGTCTGTTTGCAAGTTAGCACCATTTGAGCCGTGGTCACAACTAACTGTAGTAATTAGGCGCCCTGTCAGTCGTTGTCTGAGTTCCCGCGCAAACAAACAACATGACCAGTCATGCAGCCCCACTAACCCCTAGCCATTAACCAGGTCATTTGACCAGACCTGCCACTGGACTTGACAAAAAGATGCCGCGAAAAACGGCCTTCTACGCGTCAAGGCACTGGAACTCCGACTGGGTGAAGCTGGGAATCAGCGAGGGGCCCGCCCCAGTGGATGCGTTGGTGAGGACCATGAAGAAAAAGCCCACCATCGCCAGACGGCAGTGCCTTCAAAGCGAACAGCGTTTAGACGAAAGTGCTCCATGCATGCTGGCAATGGTCTGACATTCCTTGTTCCCGGAAAGGGGTGCTGCAAGACTCCGTCGCTTGAAAAGCAACCCCCAGCAGAAAGCAGCTTTGGAGCAGCCGCATTTTTGCTAATGTTTGCCGTAATTCGCGAAAGTCGATGTCCCCTCCTGTGCAACTGCACAGCTTGCGAGCTGGAGCTGCAGATTTGCAAGTCCTGTACTGCTTTTGTGCTGAAAAGTTGCGACATTTGAGCCGGGGATGCTGAGGTGTACTGTGTGTGCTACTGTTGCGGTGAATGTTTTGAACATAGTGCCGTGAAAGCTCCGCGAAGGAGGTCGCGAAAGTATTTGTGTTGTTCGTATGATGTCAGGTCGCGCTTTCCTCTGACCAACTTTACTTTTCGTGCGTGCTGCGCGCACTGCCAGCAACTACACATAGTTCATGAGTTCATCTTCTTTTTAGCAAACCAACCTTACACAAAACTTGCGCGAGAAAAACATATACTTTCGCAACCTCCATCGCGAAGCTTCGCAGAGGGCAATAAGAAAAACACATTCCCCTTCATACCTGAATACAAGAATCTTTAGGACGACTCCCATCTGCCAATCTGGTTGATTAATTGTCACAGGCCAAGATGCTTAATCTCACGCAGCTTCATGTTGTTCCACTCCTGGGATGCGCCGAGAAGGAATTTGAGAGCCATAGGGCAATGACCACTTCAAGCAAACACGCAGTAGCCCATTATTGGCCCGTCCTCGGAAGAGTACTTGGCAGTGAAGGTGGGGCCGAACCACTTGGGTCGCTTGGTGCCCGTCGGAGCATCGACGTTCCATCCCAGGTCCCCGGGCGCCACACCCTCGCTGTACTTGCTGATGACGTTCCTGGGACTCATGTAGACACACTCATGGATGTAGGAGGATGTAGGCATACCCGGCATACCCTTCCCCAGTTAGCCCCAGTTCTGGTTCATGGAAGATGCTCAGTGCCCATGTGTTCGGCCATTCGGCAAACAGGGGCCGAGGGGATTGCTCAACATCGTAAGCCTCCCTGATGCAATTCCTGGGGCACGTGCTGGATACCAGCAAACAGACAATTATCATAGTTATCGTGAATGTCAAGGCTCTCATAGCGCCACAACTCCGAAAGAGCAATGACGGTCAAGATCTGCAGCCAGCCAATGATGGGCACCTGGGTTGCTGCCTGAGCGGAACGGGATACCAAATCGTCCGAAGTTGACCAATTGCATTAGCACGGCAAGATGGCTACATACTCTTTCATACTCATTTCATACTCATTTCATACTCAATTCATCTCATTCCAAGAGACCTTCAAAGGATCCGCCGAGTCGGTGGGGTAGCGGGTGATGAAGGGCTCCCACTTCGCGCCACTCGTCTGGACGGTGTAGCCCAGCACCGCCAACATGCACACCCGGCCGTGGGCCAACTCGGCCTGTGCCCGAAACGCGTCTCACAGGCAGAAGCCGCACCACTGCTCATGGCTTCCGGATTGCAGCGCAAACAGCATTGCTCGTGTTGGACTCGTGGCTCATGTATGGCCTTGTTGGCCGCTTCCAAAACTGTCCACAGCATCGCGCAGGCATTTTGAATCATCAGAACCCCAACAATCAAGAGTCCATGACTAATCCGTCGAATGGCATATGAGCAAGTGACATGATGTTGCGCCTCGCGGTACCAAGGCAACAAACGCTTGTTCTTGGCGAAGCCAGCAGGGTCGAAGCCCGCATCGCCCACCTATCCCAGTGAGAAAGCGCTTCCTGCTTCTGAGGCTTCTTTGGCACAATCCATACCATTAGAGCCGGCGAAGCCTCTTTCTTGTATTATTATCTTCTTGCTGTTTGTCATCGTTCATGTTTCTTTTCCTTATCGATGTGCATATGTTCAATTTGTTGTTATATTTGTTGTTTTGCATCTTTCTTTCTTCCTTCGTTCCGTTTCTTCTTTGTGCTTGCTTCCTGTGTATTTTGTCCAGTCTTCCTACTTTATTTCCGCCCTTTTTCTGGTTTCCCTTCTTTTGCCCTTCTTCTTTCTTTGCTTCTGTCTGTGCAGCCTTCCTAAATTTCCTTCTTTCCTTCTGCCCTTCTTCCTGTCATCTGTTTTTCTTTTTTCCTTCTTTGTTTCTGTCGTTCCTTCCTTTCTTTTGTTCTTTCTGTCTTTCTTTCTGTCTTTCTTTCTGTCTTTCTTTCTTTCTGCCCTTCTCTCTTCAGCCTTCTGTCAATCTTCCGTTCTGTTTTCCTCCGTTAACCTTATATATATATATATATTATCCGTCCATCTATCCGCATTTCTCTCTATCCGTCCATCTATCTAGCTACCAGATAAGGCTCTCTATCCACCCACCTACATAGCTACCTACCTATCTATCAAACTATCGATCTACCCATCTACCTGCCAATCTACTTACCCATCTATCTATTTAATCCGACCAGCGTGTCAACCCTGTCTACCTTTTAGTTAAGTATCTACTCCTCCATCTCGCAGTTGATCAATACTCTTGCTTCCGGAAGAACGCAACCTCGTAAGAAAAACGACTCCATCATCACGCCCTTTTGCGCACAGCGTGGCCTCCCGAACTACTGCGGCAGAAGAAGTAGATTGATAGGGGTTGATCAAAAAGTCGTTGCAAGGAGTTCTGTACCGCTTGAACCCTTTCCGTTTATCTATCCCCTTCCCAGGGTTCTATCCAACTATCTACGCATCTACCTGTCTATCTGACAGACCTATCTACCTAATGCCCAGCTGGGAAAAACAAGACAAAGGGAATCAAGACAAGCCCCCCGCCCAGCCTTTCTGTTTAACAGGACATGGAAAAGAGAAAAGGAAGAAAAGAATGAGACAAAGGAGAGGAGAGGTCGCCAAGTCAACACCTGGTTCTTGGATCTCTGGCACCTCTCTTCAGCTCCACAAAATGCAAAATGTCCAGCCTTCCCAAAAGTCATGCTCTCTCACGCGTCTCTTGCCTAAGAACCGTCCACAACGAAACCCGCAATCAAACCCGCAGAGGGGGAAGTACTTCAGGCCCCAACCTTGGCATTTCAGGGGCCCCTGGGTTCATTGCCTCTTAGCCAGGAAAGTAACTAGACAGCCCAGCTGACGAAGCTGATGCTTCAAGCTTTGTTGTTACATTTGGGCCTGCTCCTCAAACCCAAAATGGCCAGCTTTCCGAAGCTCATGTTTTCTTAATGTATCTTGCTTAAACCATGCGTGCAACCAAGCGCGCAAAGAGGGCAGCAGTACTTAGTCCCACATCAAATGGCACTCAAGTCTACCAATACTAAGTCAAATGGACTGCATCTCAAAATGCTACTCCAGCGCCATAGGGGTGGCTAATCTATCTAACTCGTCTCGTTATCTACCTTGCTATTCGTCGACATACCTCTCCATCCTACTTGACCCTTAAGTGCTGCGCCTGCCACGAAATCTACGCCTGACCTTGCGAAAGTGCTGTACCTCACCGCCTTGCGAAAGCGCTGCGCGTTCCACAAAATCTGTACCCGACCTTGCGAAACCGCTCTCTGCCACGAGATCTGCACACTAGCGCTACGCGAAATCTGCACGTGACCTTGCGAAACGCTGCGCCTGCTATGAGACCTGCGCACCGCCTTGCAAAAGCGTGCGCCTGCCACAAAACCTTGCCTGACCTTGCGCCACGAAACCTGCACGTGACCTTACGAAAGTGCCTGCGAAAGTGCCTTCTTCTCTTGTCATCTGTCTCAAAGAGCTAGCTTTCAAATAGTTGCCGTTCCACGGAAGTTCTTTCTAAATTTCCTTTGATAAGACGAAACATTCCAAACTGACCCAATCGGATAAGAGTCAGTCTCTGCTGATTTCATCGAACTCCGATGAATTATGCTTCAACAAGGGTGATGCCAATAGCAATATCAGAGGAGCATGAACTGGCAGCTGAAACCTTGCTGCAAAATCTACCTGTGTGGCATGGCAACCACTCAGATGCATGACGTTGATACCCTGTCACGCAGGCATGTCTGGAAGCAAATAGCGAGAGCTTGTTTGAAGCCGCAACGTCCTAAGCGGCTTAGGATGTTCTAACATATCGCAAGCGATCGGAAGCCTGGATTCCGGGAGGCTGCTTTCTGAGGGGTTTGGAGCCAACTCAATTCCACCAAGGCTCGTGTTTGCTTCATGTCACTTCCAGGCGCTTCACTTCACACGCCGGTTTGCTTTCTTCGGCCAGGTGGCGTAGGGCCCAATGATGTTGTTGGTGAGGTTCTCAGGCACCGGAGCCCACGGCAGGGCCTCCGAATTGGCGCGCAGCGCCGTGCTGCTGGACACCTCCGATCCGGCGTAGCCACCCACGAAGGGGTTGAGGTTGCCTGGAGAAAAAGAGGAAGCTGACTACAGGGTGAGAAAACGAAAGATGTGAAAAGGCTCATATGAGCACCAGTTTGAGGTGTCCGCGGCTTTCGATGATGTTTCCAGTGTCTTGGAACGCACGGCAAGCTTGGTATGACTGGCCTGTGGTGAACTGCTCCACGAGGGACTGGCCAGTGGCTCCGTTCTGCGCCACGATGGCAGCCATGGCCATCATGGCAAGGCGTCCGTTGTTGATCTCGGCCAAAAGTTTCTTCGACTTCTCCTCCGCGGAGAGCTTGTTGATCTGGCCCCAGAACGGTGGGTAGCCTCAGTGAACCCGGCGCCAAGAAGCAAATTCAGTTGGATATTCCGCAGATTGAAACCAGCCAATTCTATATCAATCCGATGCCCCACAAATTGTCCAATGCAGGAGGTTGATCCGGCAAAATCCACATCATTCACACAGATCTATACCAAGGCACCGTAATTGGTGGGGAAGGCCAAATTCTTGGCCTCAATCGCGCCGGCAAGGGCAAAGACCTGCAGCCAGCCGGCCGCCGGGACCTTGTAGATGGCCTCAATGGTGCAGGGGATGTCGGAGAACTTCAAGTTCCTTGGCTGTGGGCACGTCAAGGCTTCCAGTTGCTGACTCTCACTCTGAAACTCATCGGCATAAACCATCAGTGTCGCCTATGCGGTTTGCACGCCAACAAGGGGGTGGAACGTTGTGAAATATCCAGGTCATTGATAATCACGCAAACGGTGCTCGAGATGTCAATACAAAGCAAATAGAAATTAGGACCCTCTTTCCAATTCTGCCGGCCAGAGCCAGGTGAGCCCAGACCAAAAGCTGGTATCAAACTGCGTCTTCGCAAAACAGTGCAGAATCAAAAGGGCGGCCGCGCGTATGTCCTGTCGGGACCGTTTCTGAGCCAAGCATCATGGAGGGCGACAAGTAGCCGCCGAAGCGCCCGAAGAGGTCAGGCACGATCATGCCGATAGTGGCGACCATGCCTTGGATCAAGAAGGATAGGACTCGCCATGCTTAAGCTAAGCTGTGGATTGATGCTCTGATTATGAGAACCTCTCTCAGTTTAGATGGCCATGATGGGTCTGTGGTTGTGCCGACTCCCAACTTCTTAAATGCAAAGGTTTCCTAGCCATAAACCTTCTTGGATCCTTTGTTGAGGGCCATTGCTCGCTCAGCATAACTCCCGCGAACTTCTGAGATCTGCGGCTCAGTTTGCAAATCCGGCCGTGCTTCAGCTCCAGCTCGCGATTTTTGCGGAACTTCGCCTCATCCTGCAGCTTGCAACCACTAGCAAATGGCTCACAAGGGTGAGGCAATCGGAAACCCTTTCTGGCTTCTTTCAAGCTTGCAATCCTGAAGTCCCGAGCGAAGTGGTCCACGCAACGAGTGAAATGGCAAGCTTTGGCCAAGAACCGATGAGTCTTGTAATGTTTTGTAATGGTCTGATTTGGAATGAGTTTGTGCTGTTTGTGCGTCCTGGAAGGCCATCATGCCGAAGGGATCCCAGTAGCCCAGAGGAGGGCAGGCGCCAAGCTCCTTGGAGGGGTCGAACTGCGCGAAGGCGCCCTGGCCGTCGTTGAAGGGCGAGATGTGCCCCGCGGTCAACTGCTCGATGGGCGCCTGGCCTGTGAGGCCGTTTTGGATGAGCATGCCAGCCATGGCAGTCATGGCCAAGCGCCCGTTGTTCAGCTCGGTGGTTAGCTTCAGCTTCCTCTCGGCGGGGTCCTTGATCTTGCGGCCCCAGTAGCCGGTGCCGAAGTTGCCCGGCTCGCCGTACTTGGCCTCCAGACGTGACATGGATTCATGGGCGAGCATGGTCATTTGTTCCGGATTCAAGGGTTTTGGAGTGGAGAATAAGGACTCTGATGTGATCTGCTACAAAAGCGGGGTGCCCGAAAATCACCCTGAGTGGCAAATATGTTCAAGACTCTTCAAGGCCAAGTGGCGTAGGCAAAGCCACCGAAGGACTGGTCCTTGAAAAGCTGAGTCTCAATGAGGCCTGCCACGAGCAGGACTTGAAGCCAGCCCTCCAGGGGCACCTTGCTGATGGCGGCAATGCCGGAGGGCACATCCGCGAACTTCCTCAGCGCGTTGCAGTTGTGAAAGAGACTGTGGGTCACGGCCAGAACTCAAGAAGAAGTCAACTCACTAATGCCCTGCATCAATACTATTGATCCAGCTCGAGACAACGCAACACACGGCCTCACCACGCTACAGACACACACTCATGCACACCTACTCGCACATATCTCGAGCTAGAAGCAGGTTCTGGGAAGGAGAGAGATAGCCATCGAACTTGCCAAAGATGTCCGGCCAAACCATGCCGATGGTTGCGAACATGCAAATGCGTCCGTGCTTGAGCTCCACAGCACGACGGCGGTCAAAGTCCTGTTTGGTGCAGTCTCCGCCGCAGTAGCCAATAGGATCCCAAAAGAGCAAAGGGTCGCATGCTCCAATCTCCTGACAGGACAAATGCGACGCAGTCACAGTCGAGAAAGCACAGTGGATCTGACAGCTTGACTTTGAGCACATATTTTAGTTTCATGCATGTTCCGCTTAAACCTGGAGCGCATGCACCCGATCCTTGGAGGCGTCATAGGCGCACCGCACAGTCGCCGTCCTGGCGCTGGCGCGCGGCGCCAAGGCCGCTGCCGCGAGACCGGCCACGCCCAGGCCGCTGAGGCCGCTGAGGCCGCTGAGGCCGCTGAGGACGTTGCCGCGGCCGGCGGACGCTCCTCGCAGAGATGCCGCTTGCGTCTGCTTGGCGTTGGGCGCCACAAAGGCGGAGGCTGCAGTGAACGCAGCGCCTGTGACGGCAGCAACGGAGAGCTTAGACATGGTAGGCATGACTGGATAAGACACGGGTCTCCTGTGCGGCACTTGTACGCCAAAAAATGGCTGCGTGAATGAACATCCACTCGAAACGCACTCTGCAAAGCTAGAAAGCTGTCGAATCAACATGCAAACCGAAAAAGTGCGATGTCATTCAAAGTTGGTCCTTGCCAAGGCCTGCCCGAAGGGGTTTAAGGCTCACACCCATCATGGTGAGAGCCAAACTCGGAAACCTGGCAAGGCCCGGCAGGGACGTGACAGAACTACACTACACGGGCGAGGGACACAAACTCAAAACAAATGCAAGCAAGCATGTATAGCATACACACTGTTGTGGGGTGTTTCTCCGGCAACTCTTTGTGCACAACAGGTCCCTGCTGCAACAATGACTGAAGCGTTTTTCTGCCCTCAGACCATGGCCTTGGACACACAGCGAAAGCCAGGATCGCACTTCACGTCATAAAAGGCCTTGATGCAAGTTGCCAGATGATCAAGTCATATGGAATGGAGGTAAATGGCGGCAATGGCCCCCCATGTGCTCCTCCAGTGGCCAGTGATAGTGATACAGTACATTTACATCTGCGGCCATGGGAAAAAAACAATTGAAACCTGAGCCCGCCACAGAGCGGGTGAAACGGCCACCACCTGCAGATTACAAGTGAGCCGATTACAAGACCCGATAGAGTGCAGCATGCGTTCAAAACAGGGGAACTTAGTTTGAAGATTCAATCCCTTGTACTTGGAGTGGGGAACCTAGTCTGCAGACTTATATTTTTGCTTTGGAGTCAAACTCAGCTTGCCATGCTCAGGAGCCTCGTCAACCAAGTTGTCCGACTTAAATAGATAGACAGAGTTGCCCACTTCCTTCACTGCTCCATGGCGGGCGAGCTTTAAGAAGGTCGAGCACCAAACAAAAAACCACCAGAGATCGTTCGAGGCAATCCAGGCCGCTGCTCGGTTCGGTGTTTCGACATGATGGGGAAACCAGGTCCGCATTGCCGGACCTCAAACAGCTCAAGTGACCGGAGATCCATCCCCCGCCTGGCAACTGTGTCAGGAGGTGCCCAAGGCCCGGCATGGCGGGATGCAGAAAGCGTGGAGTGCGGCGTGCGGAGCTGCTTTGGTATAGGTATAGGTCGGGACATGTCGGGACCTGGGACCTCGGACCTTTTGACAAAACATATTGGGGGCCCATGCTGTTGGGGGACGAAGCTGGGGTAGGGTCATTCTGGACTGCTAGCTGCTAGCTGTCAAGGTGGTATGTTCCTAGCATGTTTAAACAATTAAGTCTGAGAACTGAACTGCCTGCGTTGAGAACCTCTACGGCGGGGTTGAGGTATAGAGCAAATGTTCAAGAGCACAGAATGCGTACGAGGCAAATTGTCCAATGAGCACTCCAGCAATCACCCTTGCTTTGCAGCACGACCCTCCGTCCTCCTCCTCCGCTGCCTCCTCCCAGACCCACTTTTTCCCACGCAATCAAACTTGCACCGAAAACGTATGTTCATAGCTTCTTCAAAGGATACGACCTGGACACGGATGGACATCATTCTGGAGATTAGGAATTGCAGCACGTCATTCCAAGTTGCGTCCATCAACGTGCCTACGCTGCTGAGGGCACTGAAAATTGCACCCTGGCACAGCCTCAACCACTGACGGGAAAGTCAATTTGGCCAAGCATCGGATTAAGCAGTTGACAGCGTTGACTCTGTCACGCTCAAAAAACTGGCTATGCTCATAGGGACAAATGCATGAACATGATGTGCCAGTGCACGTGTCAGGCAATGTCTCCCATGAACACAAACCACTTGAATCCAATACTCGGTCTTTGCTGGGCAATGCCTGGGCATGAAAAAGGCAGTCTTCCTCCTCTAGGGATAACATCCCTTTTGAAAGTGCCATTGGCGCAGGAGGCACTAAAGCCCATTTGTAGTAGCGGTTGCTTCCTATCAGTTTGGCTAAACAGGCAACACCTTGCACAGCATCACATGCTCACAACCATGCGTGTTTCATGTGCTAGCCTACTTCTTTGCCTGCGTCGTTTGGCTAGATACATTCCTCTAAAGCAATATTCCCCCTCTCACTTGCCCTTCTCCAAGTACCTGCACAGGAATGAGGCCATCATCTTTACAATCGGCTGGGTCGTGCTTGCAAGATCTGGCCCTTGACAATCGCATACCGATGCAAGTCGATGTGTGATGTCCAGGCTGTCATGATATATGGCTTCAAGCATACTCTGAATCCTACCTACAATGCATCTCACATCTCATGGCAAGATCAGCAAGCACTTGTTTTCACCAGCAGCTCAGCGCTCATGGTTGCAACGCTTTTGGTTGGCTGCTGCTGCTCTTAGGCTTGTCCTCATAGGCTTAGAGCTCAGCAAAGAGTGGCACATAGGCTGGCTGGTCCTCAAATGCTGACCAAGAGGAAACCACAGCGGGAAACAAATCCAATTCATTGCAAGTTGAAATGTGCAAGGCTGGCCTTCTGGAAAGAACGGGAGGATACGAAGACCACGGCTGCAACCAAGTAGACAGTCACCTATGCGCAGGCAGCACCGGAAGTTCAAGGGATTGCCTTTGACATCGCATGAGTGCAAAAACAACACGGGTGTCTTGAAACTGGAAATCCCCAAAAGGCTGGCTTCCTCTTTGTGTCATTCTAAGGTGGAATGGACCCGAATTCTAACATCTTCCCACCTCTTCCTTTGCCGATCTCAGCTCTATGCTTTTGCGCCTCTGCCAAGGATGAGCTCTGCATCATGAGAAGAGGATGGCCTGCGCCCACGATGCCATCCACCTGAGGCATTGGCAGGGGCGTTTCTCTTTCACTGGCCACTCAACAAGTCTTTCACTCATGTCTCAACTGCATTTCCCCAGCCGAAAGCCCACAAACGTGCCCTAAGCCGGGCCCACTGGTCTCAAACTTGAAGCAGTCCAAGCCCCTTGGAACGCCTCCTGGAAGGGTGCAGCCCCCCAAGCGCAGAGCATGAAGATGGCACCCAGCAGCTGTTGTGCAGGTAGCTCAAACAGGCTGAAGACCTGGGATGAAGGAAGGTTTATGTTTAGGAACTTGGCCTAGAGCGAGTACAGTGTGCCCAAACAGGTTGCTCGTCTGATGCCAGAATCATACTTCAGAACCCTTCCTTGCACTTTCCTGGCTCCATGTCGAATGCCCTGTCAGAAGAAATAAGTCGAATGTAACAAAACATCGGTGCGCTGCAAACAACATATTGGGCAACATATACTGCATCAATTCACAACAGCGTAGTTGCAGTCCAGGTGGCCATGAACGCACCCTTGGCCTCCGTCCATAGGTTCACGCAGCGGCAGAGGAAAGACACTGCCACCGCAAGGTCCAGCAGCTGACCTGCAAGTGCCAAACAATTCCGTGGCTCAGATCACAGTAAACTGTGTTTGCTCGCTCAATTGCAGGATGTTCATGTCATGAATTGTTCTCCTCAAAGACGACGGCTTGTTCAGCACCCTGTCTGTTTCTTGGTAGCCTGTATAAAGGGCTTGGGTATTGGCTTTGTGAATGTGTATGCCACGTGGAACCTCAAGGATTGATCAAGCTTGCAGTTGAACTCCGAGATTGGTCGGATGGATGCCTCTATTTGTTGGAGTCCTGGACATCCCGTGACGCATGATATGAGCATGGCGCATCGTGCCCTCATGATCCAAGCCGGGTACCTTTCAGCGAGCGGGCAGTTTCCATGGTGGCAAGCACGGCTTGTATGCGTTTTGTTTGTGTAGTTCGGCATTCCTCCCAGCAAACTGTATTGATGTCCAATCTTAATTTGATTGCAACGTTGGCGAGAGAGCAGCCAGGCCAGCCCAGTCAAACCGTGCCAATGATGCCTTCTCATGTGGTGAGGATATGTGGGAAAAGTGGACTGTTCTGGCAGGCCTTGGCAATCTGTTGGCAAGGCAAGTCTATGTGAAAGCGTTGTGATATTGCTGATGTCTTTGAGCTCGCCTGGTGAGCAGCTCAGCGAGCAAGTTTGAGGAAAACTCTGACCATCATGTCAGAAAATGTCGACAGGGAAATACGAAAAGGTATAAGAAGTAAGGAACAACCGAGTCAAAGAGCCAAACGCTCAGAGAGTGGAGCTAGGAGTCAAAGAGCCAAAGAAAGCCAAAGACTCACCAAGGCGCAAAGTCAAAGAGTCAAAGAGTCAAATAATGGAGGAGCAAAATGATCAAAGAGCCCAAGGGTCAGAAGTCAGAAAGTCGAAGAATCAAAGAGCCAAAGGGGCTGAGACTCAGATAATTTCACGGCAAGACGGTGATAAGCCAAAAGAGCCAGAAGAGCCAAGAGCCAGATCGCTGAAGAAGAATGAAGCCAGAGAAACAAAGGGTCAAGATTCAAAGAGCCGAAGCACCGAATAGAAAACGAGTCAAACAGCCAAAGAAGCAGAAAAGGCGAAGACGCAAGGGGGTTCAAAGTCTCAGGAAGTCAAACACCGATGAATCAAATAGCTAAAGAGACCAAGCTGCACGGAGCCGAACAAAGAGCCAAAGGCATGGGCACGGTGAAAAAGGTGAGAGACAAAGAGCAAACACAAAGAGCCAGGGAATCCAACAAGTCAAAGAACAGAAGAGCCAACGAAGAGCCGAGCAGTTGCCAAAACAGCGCACAAAGAGCAAAGCAAAGCCCAAAAGCGTAAACATATTCAACGAGTGCAAGAGCAATGTGTAAAGTCTCAGGCAAGACACTCCAGGAGAACAAAACGTCCAGGTGCTCTTGGCCCGGGTCTGCCAGCGACAGGCGCTGGGCGCAGGCCACGCAGCCCAGAAGCAGCGCCAGGCCGGCGCAGAAGAAGCCGCGACGGCCCAAAGACCTCCGGAGGTTTCGACGCGATACCGAGTCGTGGTGGTTTTTGGAATCGTTCTCCAAACCAATATCTAGCAACAATAAACCGTACAGCTCGCAGTCTGACAGAGATGGGATGGTTGCCATGGAGTTAAAAAATGGAAAACAGTGTACGACCTTGCCCATAGTGGGTCTTGTTCACTCCAAGGGAATAGTTGTTGCCCAGGAGGCAAGCCGTGCCAAACAGACTCTCAAACACCCAGTAGATTGGACTCTCATAATATGCTTGCATGCACGTACATCAAAGGCACCTGCCATGGTTTCCCCGTGCCGTAATCAGCACACTGCTCACATTGTGCTCCCCGAAGACGCCGTACTGCAACAGCGGATGTTCTATGGGCTAACTCAAGGGCTTAAGAAAAGGCTCTAGCAGTCCTCATGGCCTTGCAAACCCCAAGGGCCAAATATGGCGGAAAAAAAGCCTCTAGAAAAGGTGCTGGATTTTGCAAATGGGGGTGTAACACAACCTAGTCCTCTTGCACTGAAACGTTGTAGCACACAAATTGCGCTTTGGCAGCTCCGGCTCAAAAATCGCAACTTGTCAGTACAAGTGTGGCAAGTGATGTACACCCGGCAGCTCCACTTCGAATCTCATTGAGCGCGCAACATGAGCGTTATCGCTCTTCCTTTCATCGCTGGTTCCGGCTTTGAAGGCATTGCATGCTCAAGGAGAACGCTGGGGTGCCCATCAACTTTCATCCCCACGCTAGCGGTGTAATTAGAATGAGACACAAACAAATTCGGACAAGGCATGACATTGGGCTTTTCAGGATCAATGCCTGAGCAATAAGGTGTCTTCCTAGGTCCAGAACATCCCTCAACATCCCGGTCTTTAGTGCATTCAATATCCGGCAAAGCGACGGTTTTTGGGGCCAGCTTGGCTGGATGGGAAGCGCAGTTCTCTGTCAGCCCTGTGCCTGCAAAGGTAGGCGGCCATGGGCACGGCACAAAGCTCACAGGCGAGATTCAGGTTCCCGCCCAGCGGGCCGTCCAGGTGGTAAACTTCCCAGGGGCTCAAAAGCAGCAGCAAGGAACCTCAAATTGCATTAGAGCGATCGTGCATGACTTGTCCGGCAATTTGAAGAAAAGATTCTTCGAGCCTTCTCGTGGTTTGCGAGTAAACGAAGAAGGGCTGCGAATGGACGGATAGCGACAGTTGAAGTCAAGAAGTGCAAGTGAGCCGCGAGTAAGGGAAGCTGCCAGAAGGAAGCCCGCTGGTTCCATAGCAAAAGCAGAGGTCTCCTCAGTAGCAAACGTCTCATCAGTGCTTGCTGTGAACAGCCCTCCATGAGCCTAAGGGTTGGCAGAATCCGAAGCACCTGGGTGGGTGCAGGGGGTGCTTCCACTAGTGGTCCTCCTCTTGGCGCAGCAGGGCAGAGCTGAGCAGCACCAGGCGCATCATCGCCTGCGGCTACTTGTGAGCCATTGGCACTCTGAAGTATCTCGTCCAAGTCCAGCAAACAATGTATTAACTTCAAAACACCCACCAGCACCAGACCATTTCTAGCTCTGGGCACCTGCGTCAGGAAAGCTGTAGTTCTGTGTAGCATGCAGTGTTTGGCAACACTGACTGCAGTCAATCAGCAGGAGACGTAGAGAGAGAGAGAGAGAGAGCGAGAGGTTTGGAACCAGCCAATATTTTTTGTAGTAAAGAAGAAGTCGATCAGGATGTGCCAATAGAGCAACAGGCAGATGGGGTGTTGCTTTGACTGAGTCCCGACTGAGATTTCTTTTCAGGGCCTCGCGAATGGCAAACCCAGGGCAGTCCTGGATTCCAAGGAGAGTGTCGGCCGTCTTCAAAATTGGCCACCTCAAAAGGATGATCAGCTGGGTAGCTGATCCGCGTTTCTAAACTCGTAATAAACCATGTGTCCCATATTCAAATCAAGTACCAATGCCAAGACACGCTATCAAAAGGTGCCAATATGATGTGCAGCCACATGCTGATCGCAAGCCTCAAAATCCTCAACATATTCTGAAGTGCTGCCAAGACTCTCAGCATTGATGCCACTCCACAAAGCTTCATCCTCCATCCAGCACGTTGCGAGCTGTGGGATCCAGTTCTCTCAAGTCAAATTGCTTTCTTTCTTCTGCCTCTTCCATCTCCATGCCAGGAACTTGCAACTCCCCGTGTTCACACAGACAAATGGATCCAGCACATGACGCAAACTGGACACTGCACAACCAAAGCCGCACAAGCAGCAAAAGGTGGGCAACACAATCTATGGCTCGTGTCTCGGGTCCGTCGCAGCAGGCCCCTAGCGAACAATCCGCAAATTTGCTGCCGTGTCAGCAAGAGTCTTTGGCCCATTCAAGTCGCCTGGTTGGCGAAAACGAACACGACTCCCGCGAAGAGGCCGTTTCTTAAGAGGCCCTTTTTCAGAGAGCCTTGTTCCTCAGCATGGGCCCCGAGGAAACCTGCACCAATATTGGCCCAAGCAGTGTTCAAACCTGAATCTGAAAAGCATGCGGGTGGGTCCCAGCAGCTGAACTTGCTCTGTCCTGCTTCGGAATCTCTGCTCCCCCGTTGTGCTGGCCACAGTAGACCAGGGCCAAAGCAAGCGAGAGACAAAGGCTGAGGGAAAGCAGCCTCAGCAGCGAAAGAAGAAGAGCAGGCAACTTTAGTTGTTTATTTTTGCACGCGCAAAGCCACCGTACATTTGCAAACCGTGCCCTGGAAGGTAATTGCAAGTGACCAAGCGCCTGGTGCAGGCGTCCATCCTGACAGTTGCATGACGAGTTGCTCGGGTAAGAGCTGCTGCATGCTGCGGAAGTAGGCAACCAAATGTGCAGTGCCTGACTCAAACTGCAGGCAACAAGTCCCTGAGAGCCCACTCCAAGAAACAGGGGCGAAAAGCCTAAACATCCGTCCTACGCTTGCAAATCTCATACGACCTGCGTGGCGTGTTCCGCGCTTTGTGCGAGGTGGAAATCACTGTTCGACCTTCAAGATCCTTCCGGGATGCGCCTGCGTCTCCTGCATGTGATTTGTCGCAGTGTAAACTTTGCCAAGTTAGGACACAACCAACATGGACCAACACGCTTCCCAAGCTGTGCCACTTGCCCGGCGCGCCTGTCACCTTGCGCTCCAGCAGCCAAATGCTCACTGCCACAAAGCAAAGAGCAAAGGCCATGTAGTCCTGGCCACTCCCAACGACAAAGACCCCACAAGGAGTGAAAAATCAGGCGCCAACTGACTCTAAGTAATTTGCGGGTGCCTGTGGTGCCTTTGTTCACCTCGTGGGGTCAATGGCATACAATAACCCCAAAGTCCAAAGTATATCTGCAACAACTGCTAAGAACTGGGAGCATGGCTGGACTCTGGACAGGGCTGAAATGCAGGCCACTGCAGCTCAAGCGAATTACCCCTTCCAGCTGAGTTATCAGGTTTTCTCTTCAACGGTCTGGTATTTCAAAGCGATCAAGTTTCGATCCTAAATCTGACTGCCAGTCAATGCTAGTGAAGCAAGCAAAAAGGCAAAGCTTCCGTCACCTCATAAGGAAACCAACATTCACTTCCAACGAACGGCGAGTTCGACGTTTCCAAATATCCTTCGTCTGTTGGCTACGATCAATGGATCATGTCTCAAGATCCAACCTGAGAGCCATCCATCGAAGCTCCAGTTGCGAGGATAGCCATTGCGAGCGGGGTAGTTCCTCGGCAAATGTGTGTGTCATGAACTTTGACAAGGGTCCCCGGCTCCCCGGTGCCCGGCAATATCCAGCAATTGTGTTAAGGCAGTGAAAATGCTGCTTTGACCGAGTAAAGCACCCGAGGTACTAGGTTGATCTCCGCTGCGAATCATGACATGACTCAAGCGGCCACTTCTCGTGACATTGCCTCAAACCTGAAAGGGGACCAATGCAGCTCAGGCTCGTCGCGTACGTATTTCGGTACCGGATGGTTGTCGCTTCTTGAGCTGAAACAGTGCAGGCATACATTCTAGCACTAGTGCATCCAAATATGACCGCATGAACAACACCACTCTAGTTGAGGAAAAAGCGTCTCGCCAACACTGGATGGTCTGAGTGAGAAGTGCTTGCTGGTCGCACTTCTCAACTTGATTACACAGCTCGAAGAAGCGGGGGCGGCGCTTGTTCGGGAACCTCGGGCCGACGTGCGCTCTTGCTTGGCAATCCGTCCAACAAGGCAAATGTGAGCCTGGTGTGCATTTACCTACCTCGCTTGCCTTGCTTTGTAGCCTCTGCCAGTTAAACCTCTGAGGTGCCATGTTTGGTTAAGCTACACGCATTGTTGCTGCTAGGAATGAGCAGTGGAAAACAAAAGGTAATGGTGTGCCCGGTCAGATTCAGAAAGCGTGACTTTTTCAGAGTTTCTGAGAGATGCTCAAAGGGGTCAGGGCAACTGGAGAAACTCATGTTGGCAGGTGTTTATGGAATGGATAAGCGTAGCCTGTCTCTCAGTGCTACAGTGTACAAACTGCACACCATCGTCTTCACTAGGCCTGCCACGGAAACTTGGGGCCGTAGGAGGTGAAGTGCGATGCCTTAGTCGGATGGCTGCACGAAAAGATCCTATGCGAGCCATCCAGCAGCAAAAGTACAAGGAGTCTTGCACTGTCAGCAACCCGTGGTTTCCCGAAAGCCAATTGAAATTGAAGTACCAAGTTACAGGAGGTGATCAACACTCAGCAGTTGCGGGACGGCATTTCAAGCTCAACACTAAGGTGTTGATGGCCGAGTAGAGGGAGTAGTAGCTCTGCCTCTCGGCACAGCTCATCTGAAGCTCTCAAGACTTGCGACATGTGGTCGTGAACACTGCCGCATGGTTGGAATCCTGGCAAACTAGTGTATCAACAAGAGCAAGCACCCTTCCCAGAACCAACATGTCAGTAGCCCGCAACATGACCCTGGAATCAGAAAGGCAAATGTCAAAGACAGCCATTGTCTGTGTAACAGTCTGTCAATCTCTGCTCGAACGACCACCAAGGAAATCAAGTGAGCTATTGTGGGTGTGGACAATGAGCATAAAGCGGGCACTATCTAAACATTTACGGCGTTGAGATGCAAAACCATTCGCATGTGCAGTGTTCTTATGTCTGGCTGCAAGCCTCAAAATTTCCAGTGGTACCGTCTCTTCAATTTCTAGATTGCCCCACCAAGTTTTGCTTCTTCCAAAGCCAAAGCGCGACAAGCCCTCGCGACTAGCAATTGACAAACCGGTTGCGGAGGCGTTCCTCGCAGAACCAGGCGCTTCCTGCCCTTAAGGCAGAATGCGCCATGTACCAGGGGCAAAATTGGGCAAGACTGACTGACTGTACACTGTACATTGGCTGCTGCAGCCACGCAGCTTCTCCTTCTACTTACCCACGCCTCTTGCATGCTGCCCGCCGAGACAGGAAAGCCACAAGGGGGTCCTGCGGTCGTTGGAGGCGCGTCCGGGGGCCAACCCTTGGGACAGCTGCCGGAGCTACTCTAGCCACAGGCTTCGCCCGAACTGTGGCGGTAGCCTCAAAGAGAGGCACCACACGCGTGTCATCAAAGAAGACCATGACGCTTGGGGTGTGCTTCACAAGCTCGTCGTCATCCAGGGCAGCACAAACTAACATGGGCTTGCTCGCCCCACGAGTGTAGCGGAACGATGTGGATGCCGAGTGCCCCTTCGCCGTATAAATTCCCACTCCCAGAACAGAGCCATTGGCGACGCGAACCCCAGTGTCCTTGCCCGGAATCTGCAATCCCTGGCTGTAAATGGAAGGCAGAAAAGCCTCGTTCGTGCCATGGTATGCCACTGTCAGCTTGTCACTGCATGTCTGGTAGGCCTGCCAGAATCTATCCTGCACCGCAGCTGACAAAGGGGTCGGCCGGAACAGCCAGCTCCCATACAAGCTCCGGAGCGAGGGTCCAACCTGAGAAAGGTGGTTTTGCAAGAATTCCCAGCGAAACTGCTCAAAAGCACACGCCTTTCTGTCGCAAGTAACCTTAGCACCAAGTTGCCTGAGCTCTTCCGCAACCTTCTCTGGCACTGAATATGGACGCTGACTCTGCCTCACTTTCTTCACTCTTGGCTTAGACTTTTCACCATGGAGTGCAAAGTACTGCCTGGCAGAAACCTCTGCACGAACCAATGCTGTCTCCCATGGGGTGCGTCGAGAGGAAAATGGGCTGTCACAGGAGACTGTGCCAGCTGTAGTAGAGCAAACTGAGGACACTTCGCACATCTCGTTTGCCTTACAATCGCTGGCAGTTTCAGAAAACAAATCCCTCGATGGGACCTCCAAGTCACCAGGCTTGGCCTGCAAGATGAGCGACGTACAAAAGTGCTCCGCATTTTCCGTCTCCAGTGGATCGCTCAGCTCCGGCAAATCTTCAACCTCCTCTTCCTCGGCATAGAACTCAGCTAGGCCTTCCAGAATCATGTGCCCCAGCAATCTCTGCTTGGCCTGCACAGCCCGAGGCTCGTTCGAGAACCAGAAGTGGGCTTTGTGCACCGTGTTCACTGTTCGCTTCACCACTGAGCGGCCCCACGCGCTGGAACAGGAGTGCAACGCCTTCCAACTGCATGCCTCGATGCGCTTGCGATGCCCGCGCTTCATGGACCATCCTCTGGCAAAGCAAGGCTCGATCTCCATGATTGTTCGCAGGTGTCTCTACAGGCAACGCTTTGAGCCACTGTCGATGTTATCACTGATTAAACATGGAAATCTGTGAGCTGCGAAAAGGCGAGAGGTGAGATGTCCACTGCCTCCCCACTGACAGGTTTTGCCGTCGGTAGATGGCCAGCCAGTCGTTCATCTCCTTCTTGACTCGTGTGTTCCTGTGCATGACCCGGGCTTCGGATCAAACACCAGCTATGCAAGCTTCGACAGTACTACCATTGACCACTCAATCGCGGGCAATAAATGGCGGGCCAACAGGCCGGCGATCTTGCTAAGACGCTAGGTCTCCAGCCATTTCTCCATGTTTGGAGTTCCCTTGTCCAAGGAAGCCGAGATCTTCATGTGCTTCATCACCTGGGCAGTGATGACTCAGGCGAGCATGTGCAAATTATGCTGGAGCTGAAGGTCAGTTAGTACATCAAAGGAGGGCAGAGGAGTCGGTGGTGGTAGATAGCGTGACCCTGGCATCGAGCTGTCATCACAACACGACCATTTCGGGTATCCTGACCTGTCCAACCTACAGCGATTATGATTAATCGAACCAAGCCGTCAAAGGGCTACTGCAGCCTGAAGCGGGGGTTTTGGCAAGAACAGCGCTGGTGGCAAAACGACCCAATTGAGGCATCATTTGACATGGCCTGAAAAGACATCCTGCCATCCCAGCCCAGTGTGCCTGGTATGTGTCCTGTCGGTACTTCTGCTTCAT